AATTCTCAGTAGCTGCCCGGAGTCAGGAAGTTGGCGGTATCTCACCCCCGTGCCTTGGAAAGCACGTAAAGCCTTTGGTCCTGCACCTGATCTCTCTCTGGACGTGTCGGCTTACCGTCCCATCGGATTATGAGAGTGAGGGAATAGAGAGTGCACCTGTGATTGCGCATACACTTTGGCACTATAATCCTGTCCTGCGCCGATGGCTAGCCTCCGTTTAGGCAGGTCACCGTGGCCGAAATTCGGTCTGGAGGACAATATATCATAAGCCAACTACTAAAAATTAAACTAGAACCCATTAGATTGCAGTTGCAGACATTCGCTACTAAGTAAAATAAAATTTTTTGTAAACAGGTTTTTTAGAAATAAACTTTTGTTGAAAACCTATAATAAATTAGCTAGCGAGGCAGACGTGGTTTTACTTGTTCCGACGACCACTTGACCATAAAAAACTTTAAATTCGCAATAAAAATATTGAGGGTCACTTATCAGGATAAAACTACCCTATATCTCAAGTTGATCAATACACATTTACAAAATTTCATTGAAATTACTCGTAGTTCAGTAGTTTAGGCGTTCTTCGTGGACCACACATTTAACTTATTTTGCTTGCGGGAGAGTAACTATATTTCTTAAATGTTTTATTAACGGAATTATTTGCCCGAGAGCAATTACTCTTCTGCTCTGCTTCTGCGTACGTATGTTGGCGGACTTAACATGGGGTACCACTGTGATCTATTCCATTATACCATTCACATAAGTGTATGTAAAATGAATTTAATGAATGGCTGAAATACATGTCTTGTCAGTTACAACCACACAAATCGACCTCTATCGACGACTCGGTCGACTGAAAGGTGTGTTTCCTGCGGCTGCGATAGTAAAGGTAGGTATATCATTAATTTAAATGTATGAATGCCCTTTTTTATATTTCAAGTAAAAAAATTACCTTTGACGCGTACTGTAAACAAAAACTAAAAGTGGTTTTCGCTACTCACAGGTTAAGCTCTATGTACCTTTATTCCATAATTCATGAACTTTAGCCCATGTGGAGATAACGTAAGACGCTCAAATAAATAACCGCACTAAATTATCCCCAGAGAACAAAGATGGTTACCAACTGTGCCAGTAATAAAATTACAGAAATCTTACATCGGAAGATTGTTTATATTGGCATTCTAAGGGTTATATATTAAGTATCAATTTCCCTTAATATTATTTCACTCATATTGTAACAATAGTCAAATTTTGTGCATTGTACTCAGGAAAATGTAACTGTATTTATCATATTAAATATTCTGATAGCTAAACGATTAAGGTTTTTTCTTATATTAAAGGTGTTTAAATTTATAAGAGGATAAAATAGCGAGTGACGTAGCTATGAAAGTAAAAAAACCTAAATTGAGAAATAATTATGCAAGTATTTGTGTTAATTTATCTATTTTTTATGTTTTTAAACAGATGTTTACATAGAGGAACAAATATGATTACAATTAAAGAAAGTAACAATAAGCCTTATAAAATAACATGCAATAATAAAAATTAAAACTGTGTTTAGCTTAATAATGTAGAATCTACAAAAGAAAAGTTGTAAACTCAAGTTTATAATGTTAGCTACCTGTCTGAACCAAATTGAGTACCTGTGCTTCAGACCATCACTTACGCTATGGTAATAAATTATTGTAGCGTTGTATCTGCTTTATTCATGATACCAGCAGGCTGGAGGGCCTTATCAATAGAAATTTAATATTTAATAAAAGTCCTGCTAATAAATTAATTATTAATTGTAGATGAAAATGTATTTATATAAATTAATTGATAGAATCAGGCGCTACTTTGCGGAAATCCATTATAAAGATATTAATTAATTTGCAACCTTCCGCTAACTAAATACAATGATGTGTCTATTATATATATATATATATATATATATATATATATATATATATATATATATATATATATATATATATATATATATATATATTATATATATATATATATATATATATATATATATATATATATATATATATATATATATATGTATATATAACTGCCTCGTTGGTCTAGTGGTTGTAGTAGTGCAACTGCTGATCATGAGGTCCTGGGTTCGAATCCAAAAAATTAATTATTGTGTTTTCCCGTCAAGAAGTTCTTAGTAGTTGCCTCGGAAAGCACGTAAAGCCGTTGGTCCTGTGCCTGATCTCTCTCCGGTCGTATATCGGTTTCGGTTCGGTTTACCGTCCCATCGGATTATGAGAGTGAGGGGATAGAAAGTGCACGTGTGCTTGCGTATACACTTGGGCACTAATCCTGTCTGGCTAGCATCCATTGACAGACATTGTTATTATATATATATATATATATATATATATATATATATATATATATATATATATATATATATATATATATATATATGTGAGCCTAATATCCATTATATTTATCACATTTATGATGTTAGATAGTGGAGTAACTGACACACCCTAACGGATCAGTAAGCTGAAGTCGCAGTGGGTCGGGCATAGATGGAGCGAAAACCTAGTAAACATGCAGGAGTTCGATGAATGCAAATGGCTCAGGAGCGTGCTTTGTAGCAATTTTTGGGGGAGGCCTAGGTTTACCTTCTTTAGTAGTGGACTTGCGATGACAATTGTGATATTTTGTTTAAATTAATATATCAAAGTCTCAGCTTATGTATACCTACAGCCGGATACAAACTTACACTAGTTTATGAGAGGGTTATGAGCCGTGAAAGCATGAATTTTACTTTGAGATTTTAAACTGCCTCAGATTCTATTAATTGAAGTACTCATTTAAACGCAGCTTTATGTGGATTAACGGCATTGGAGTATATTTATATTATACTGGCTATCCGACTTAATCCAAAACTACTTTATACACGTAAATGGTTACTTTCTTATAAAAACTCGTATATCAACATCACCATCATTATTACAGCCCTTAACAAGTCCACTGCTGAACATAGGCGTCCTCCAAGGAATGCTACAAAGTACGGTCCTAAACCACCTGCATCCATCGACTTCCTGCATGTCTTACCAGGTCGTCACGGCATCTATTAGGGTGACGCCCTAAACTTCACCTGCTTGTACGAGGCTGCAACTCGAGAACCTTTTTTCCCATTGGTTATCGGTTCTTCGAGCTATGTGGCTGGCCCATTGCCACTTCAGTTTACTACTCCGTTGGGCTATGTCGGTTACTCTGGTTCTACTGCGGATATCCTCATTCCGAGCATAGCCCTCTAAATAGCTCGCTGAGCGACTTTAAGCTTCTTCATACGGCCGGCAGTGAAGGACCACATCTCAGATCTAAGGTCATCACTGGCAACACGCACTGGTTGCATAATCTAGTTTTGAGATTTTGAGAAGATGTGTCGCAATATCTCGAGCGCTGCCCAGCCGATCGAATCTTCGAATCGAAGTTCGTCTTACCTAGTCGGACTATTTGTCCCAGGTAAACATACTCGTCAACAACTTCGAGCTTAGTGCTCCCAATAACGTCAGCAATTAAAAACAAGTTAACTAATCACGATAAAATCCGTATAAATAGTTTTATTCAAATACTAATATATATTTTTACATAGACAAAAGCTGTTACAAAAATATACCAAGTTTCGCCATAGTTTTGTGACATGTTTTATGTTCATCATTATAATTTCTATAATTACTTATGTATTTACAAAATGTTTTATATTTTCTTACACAATAATGTATCTAATTATACGAAATAAAGTGGGATCAATTATCATTGAAATATTTTAAAAGATCACAAAAATACAATATCTTCTTTGCAGTAAAGTGACACTTTCCAACATTCTACTCACACTTTTTAAACTAACTGAATACCAACGTCGGTATTTGCTGTGCTGCACTATCGTAGAAAGATAGTAAGAGCGACAACGTTGCAAACTTCGAATTTTACTAGTACTGGTTCTGTTGAACTGAATAGCGACTCCTCAAGTGTTAAGTACACACAAAAAAGTTCATCAAAATCAGCCCAACTGCTTAGAGAGAGCTTAGTGACAAAGACATATACAGAAGAATTATTATAAAGATATCATTTTATAATAATTACTTTAAAATTTAATAATTCTTCTGCTCATTCTGGAAATTATTTTAGATTTCCTGTTGCTGGATATAATATTATGTCAAAAACATAATAAAAAATTGTTAGTGTTAATCCAAGCAACGTTGAAACAAAGCCATGAAATCAGTGAAAATATTATTTAACTAATTTTATTTTGCCAATTCTCCTGGGACGTTTTATGATGAATGAATAGAGCAGTGGCCAATAACCGCAATATGATAAATACCGTTTCCCGGCAAAATTATTATACGGTTGACTCGGCATAATTTATAGTCGGTCCGTCAAAATTTCTACTATAATTTGTATGAAGTATAACTGAATGAATATAGATTATGAAATTAATATGTTCAGATGCGACATTTCTGTGGGTACTTAAGTATAGGACGAATATATTATTATAAGTACACATTTTTTTTTGTAAAAACATATATAAGTTAATATAATTAAGCTAAATTTTTCATATTTAAATCTGCTTATTATTCTTTTATTTTATGTTTCCACATCAAAGTCAAAGTGAAATAAATTCGTCCATTTTTAACTCTCATTTATGAACGACTCTTATTCTAATTTAAATAGATATATATCTAATTTAAATGTTACGTTAATAAGTTTTGTTAAACATACATTTAGCATGTTTTTTATATTTGACATAAAAAAACATACTAAATATAACTTTTAACCCAGATACTGTGACGGGGCTTTTAAAAGACCCGAAAAAATTATTAAAAATACCCTCAAGTTTCGAGTTGTTAAAATGAATTCTCTAAGATATTTGCACTGTCAGGTTATTTAGTACCTATCCGTGTATGATTTCATGCGGTGTTGTTTACAACTAGACACTTGTTTATTTAAAGTTTTCGTGCCATTGAAGACTTAGGAGTATTAGTGTCATGATGTCTGGACAAAGGTAAGCTTTTATCATTTATATATCTGGATGTTGTTGCTAATACATTTTGATATTTAATTTTAGATATATTATCTACAATGTCAGGTTATCTATTTGTTTTCGTGCAACAAAAACTCGTTCCTTTTTCACGTTTCAAATTGATGGCCTTTTAAAAGTCCCGTCGCAATATGGGGGTCTATAATGTTATTGTTTTATTTTTTAGCACGCGACCTTTGAGAGCACTCAATCTCAACGATATAGTTGATGAATTAGAGCAATGTGAGGATGATGATTTGTTGCCAACTCAAATTACAATTTTTCCAACTGAGAACGCTAATGCCGACGTCACAGATGAGAATTCTGGAGATGAAGAATTTGTTGCATTGCAAAATCTACCAGGTAAAATATTTGTTTTCGGGTTGATATAACTACGTCTCAATGATTCTATCTTGTTTTATTTATATGGTTGCAATATTTATATCAGTTTTTTATAGGCTCTTAACTACGAGCTCCAGCCGAGGTCACTTTTCATATGAGTTCCGACGAAGAAGATGATGTACCTTTGTCAAGTTAGTCAAAAAGAAGACGCACGATGGATTTGACTTTAGATAGTGACGCCGTACCTTCTTGTACTTCAGATGTGTCAACTAATTCTACATTTGGTCAACCTACAGTTCCCCGAAACCAAACCTATAGATGGAAGAATCGTCATATTCCAAACCATTTCAATCAATGGAATGACGAACAAGGTCCAAAAAACTTACAATCACCCTTATATTATTTCGACTGCTTGTTCAACAACAATGTTATTGAATTACTAGTGCGATATACCAATTTGTATGCAGGACAGAGGAATAAAGTGGGCAAAGTAACTGTTTCTGAAATGAAGTGTTTCTTGGGCATCCTGATGTACAGCGGGTATGTAGTAGTATCCCGTAGGTTTATGTATTGGGAGACATCGACAGATGCCGACTTTAGGATTGTGCACAACGCTATGTCAAGAGATCGTTTTACTTTTATTATGTCAAATATCCACTGCTGTGATAATACAGTTCTTGGTGATTCTCCTGACAAATTCGCTAAGTTGAGACCTCTGTTTGACGAGTTAAATAAAATCTTTACTGAAATGGCTCCGCTAGAAGAGAACTACAGCATAGATGAGGCTATGGTTCCATACTATGGACGTCACAGTTGCAAACAGTTTATACGTGGCAAACCAATTCGTTGGGGGTATAAACTGTGGGTTGGTGCTACAAGATTAGGCTACGTGATTTGGTTTGATCCTTACCAGGGAAAATCTTCAACCATTGCAGAAGGTTACATACAGTTTGGTCTAGGTGGGAGTGTGATTTTGGAGTTTGCTGATGTTCTACAAGGTCGTGATCCAACATTGCCATTTCATTTATTCTTCGACAATTATTTTTCCTCTATTCCTCTACTGCATGAACTTAGTAATAGAGGTCTGAGAGCCACTGGAACTATTCGTGAAAACAGAACGTCCAAGTGTCCTCTCGAGTCTAACAAAGATTTCAAAAATACTGATAGAGGTTCATTTGTATTCAAATCCAGTTTGCCTACCAATATTTTGATTTGCAAGTGGAATGACAATAGTGTCGTTATTGTTGACTCGAATACTGAAACTGTGGAGCCCCTGCAAAAAGTCAAGAGATTTTCGCAAGAACTAAAAAGATTTGTACATATTGACCAACCGTTGGTTATAAGAAAATACAATGAAAATATGGGAGGGGTCGATAGATCCGATCAAAACATAGGGTTGTATCGGACTTCTATTCGTGGCAAGAAATGGTATTTTTCACTGTTTTGTCACACCTTAGATATGGCTGTGCATAATGCATGGCTACTTTACAAGCGAGACGGTAGACAACATGATCATCTCACTTTTCGTAGACTACTGGCGAAAGGTTTGCTCGAAAGCTACAAAAAAAGCGATAAGAGAGGATCATGTCCCACAGGTAGATCTCATTTTGAATCATCTCGATATGATGGGGTTGATCACTTGGTCCAGTACAGCGCTCCCCAACTAAGATGCAAAGTTTGCAAAGTTAAAAGTTTTTTATTTGCCAAAAGTGTAAGATTCATTTACATCCTAAGAACTGTTTCCCTGAATGTCACACTAAAACTCAGTAAAGTTAGTGAACTTTACTGACTTTTAGTGTGATATACTTAGTGAAGTGCTGTTGTTTTATTGTGAGACATCATATCACATAACTTGCTATACCTATGTCTATTTTCTTTTGTATAGTTAAAATTTACCGTAATAATAAAAAACTAATATAATAACAGTTTGTTTTATTAATAGACCGCCACATACATGTAAACAATCCCCATATTACGACGGGACTTTTAAAAGCCCACCCTTTTCCGGCTTTTCTGAAAACATGCAATTTTTTTACTATTTTTCCTGGTTATTATGAGTCATTTTAACTATCATATCCGAATATCACCAAGATCGAAAATAAAAAATAGTTACAGTAACATCTGGGTTAAAATATTCAGATAAAAATATCGTTAAAATATAACTGTGATATAATATTATGTAATATTATTTTAAATAAGCAAGTATAATATACAAAATAATTGACAAAATTTAAATATTATTCTCGATATAATTTACCTATTTAACAATACAATCTACTATTACCTATGGATCATTCTACCTATGTATATTCTATGATAAAAAAAACAACCGCGCGAACACAGAGTAGCGCACATTTTTTGTTTGAAATAGCTGTTCTAGTACGTAAGTACATATTACTTCAAAGTTAATTATTTAAGTAATTGAAAATACTAATAAACATAAGCTGATGTTTTTAAAAATATCACAAAATTTAATAAAAACACTAGATTTATTCCATAGTGTTACCTTCTATTATTATTTTGCTTTTCTTTGCTTGTAAATGCGGTATAAACATTATTACTTGACTGACTTAATGACAGTGGGTAGCGTGACCTTGATAAGTTGACAAAACAGTCCGATTTCTCCGCTTCGCATTTGAGATGTGCAAACACTGCATTGTGGGCAAAATTTTAGTAACATTAATAAAATAATATAGGTACAAGACATGTCACAAGGTAAAAAAGTCATTTATTTAAATTTGAAATAGTTTTAGTTATTCATCATAGTTATTATTACAGCACTTCACAAGTCCACTGCTGAACTTAGGATTCCCCCAAGAAATGCCACAAAGCACGGTCCTGAGCCAACTGCTCCCATCGACTTCATGTATATCTTATCATGTTGTCACCACATCTAGTAGGTTGCCACCCTACAATTCGCCTACGGTTCTTTGACCTGGCCCATTGCCACCTCGGCTTACCGTTTGGCTATGTTAGTTACTCTGGTTCTACAGTGGTTATCCTCATTTCTAAGTTTATCACGCAGAGAAACCCCGAACATAGCCCTCTCCATGGCTCGCTGAGCGACTTTGAGCGTCCTAAAACAGCCAGCAGTTAACGACAATACATCTCAGATCTATAAGTTATCAATGGCAATACGCACTGGTTGTATAATATTATTTTCAAGTTTATAGGTATACCTGACAGGAAAATGTGCCGTATTCTCACAAACGCTGCCTAGCCGAGTTGAATCCGTTGATTGACTTCTTGGTCGATTTTGGACTTACATAGTCGGACTATTTGTCCTAGGTAAACATACTCGTCGACAACTCCGAACTTAGTGCTCGCAACAATTACCGGCCTAGGTGTAACATGTACGTTAATAAATAGTCATAGTTATTGTATGGACCTAAATCTTACAAACCAAAGAAGAACGCTAAAAGGTTGTTATGAAATTGGTGGCCAGGACTCGTCATAACAATGTTTATCAGTTATATTATGATGTCGACGTATTTTAATATCTTTTTCGTGATATTAGAATAAAGTGGTACACATATTTTATTTGACAGGTATTTCTTTTTAGAAATATTTTAAGTATAATAGATACTTGGGGTTAAGAACAATTTAGAAAATGATTGGTTGACTTTACTACAATACATTAGAATCGTGGCCCGTTTAGATTACAACACAAGCTGCTGTCCGACCCTTTTTTATAAATTCTTTCCAATATCGGATGGAATTTATCTTCGAATCCCTTCCCTAGATGATTAATGCCGATGAGCTGGAAATGTCGATATCTTGTGAAATTGTTACCTTTATTTGTAATAATATGTTAAAATAAGGTTGACTTAACGTAATATTGAAATAATATTATAATCATAGAACTATATTTTATATTTATATTAGCCTTTAGCTGGTCTTATATATATATATGGGTAAGGCCGTCGTTTTTGCCACTTTTTGATGAAAAAATATTCTCATATTTTCATTGCTTATAGAAAACAACATAGTGGTTAAATTGTAATGGAGGTATTTTAATTAGGTTATACATCTCTTAAACTCTTACAACATATTCTTAATATTAATATAAGTTGTACATTAAAAAAAAATACAACGAGTTAAATTCGTCCAGACTCCCAAATTTAACGAAAAACATGCTGTCTTTTTAGCATTTAAACTATAAAACTTATATTTTTGTAATGAACGTTTAATTAATTTGTGACTATCTGAAATTTCTTTATTCCGCTCCGAAGCTTCGCTTGTCGCGCCAAATTCTATACTTCCCCGATCGCATCTTGTAGCGCCTATAAATATAAATTAGCACCGAAATATCCAGAATATTCAAGTAAACACGCGCAAGGTACCGAGAATTCGAGTTTCAACTTCTAGAAGTTTAGTTCTTCGGTTCGAGACTAGATGGCGCTGCCGGTTGAAATATTAGTGATGTCATTTTCTGGAAAGCTCCCCTCGCTCTCGTCTCTGACACTAGATGGCGCTAGTGACGTCGCCTTAGGCGCGTAACACTGCCCCCTCCTAAGACATGCTCGTCCCGAGCATTATCGGCCCCATAATAACGCGCCAGGCGATGCACATGGACGATCTTAGGAGTCCCTCTTGCGCCTTTCTGTTTCCGGTTGGTTACATCGTTGATCCTGGTCACAATCTGGTACGGGCCGTCCCATTTAGGTTGATGCTTAGGAGATTTCCCTTTGCTGCGGACTGGATTGTGCAACCACACTTGTAAACCGTCGTCGAACCCTTTATTGTTAATTTTGCGGTCGTACCGGGTTTTCATTTTCTCAGACATTTGCTGGCCCGATTGTCTGACGTGCTCATAAATGTCATTCATTTTGTTCCGCAAGTCATTTGCATAATCGGTTATACTGCGCGGGGTATCAGGTGGTATCCCGGTGATCAGGTCTGCAGGCAGCAGTAATTCTCTTCCAAAGTTTGCGAAAACTGGTGTCACTGCTGTACTTTCGTGAACAGCGCTTCGATATGACAACAAAAACGGTTTTATGTGCTTGTCCCAATTTCTTTGTCGATTGTCTGCAACTTTTGCTAGGTATCCCTCCAATGTCTGATTAAATCGTTCCACCATTCCATCATATTGCGGGTGATAAGAAGTCGTTCTTGCTTTATGAGTACCCATAACTCGGAAAGTTTCCTGGAATATTTGAGACTCAAAATTCCTTCCTTGATCGCTGTGAATCTCTAAAGGTACTCCAAAACGACAGAAGACTTCATGAAATAGCTGATACGCTACTGTTGAAGCTTCTTGATTTGGGATGGCAAAGACTTCTGGCCACGTAGTGAAGTAATCCATCACAACCATAAAATACTTATTACCGCTTTCACTCTCCGGAAACGGCCCCGCCACGTCAATGGCTATTCTCTCCCATGGTGCACCAACACTGTACAACTTCAATGCACCTCTACTACGAGTCTGAGGTCCCTTTACAGCCGCACAACTTGTACATTTGCGACACCAGTCCTCGACATCGTTTCGACAGTGGACCCAATAAAACCGTTCTCGGATCTTCAGTAGAGTTCGTTTAACTTCCAGATGGCCTCCGGAACAATCATTATGGTACAGCTGTAGAACATCCGGTATTTTAGCTTTAGGGACAACCATTTGCAAGTGACAGCTGTCTACCCGAACATTTTCCCATTTACGGCACAGAACTCCATCCTGAAGCAGCAAGCTGTCCCATTGGGCCCAATAGCTTTTAGTGGTCGAACTCATCGCTGCGACGTCACTCCACTTGGGCTTGGGAGCACTGGCCTTTATCCATTCCAGAATCGACTTGATGTCCGGATCTTCCTGCTGTGCATGTAGTAAGCTGTCCTTCCACTCGTTGCTGAGGTTGTCTGACCTGAGCATCCCCACGGATATCATTTCCTTACTCTCTTGTCTAGTACAATGTTTGCAATCTTCAGGACAAGATCTTCTTGACAATGCATCTGCGTTGCCATGAGATTTCCCGCTGCGATGTCTGATAATAAAGTCATATCTCAACTGCTGCTGGGCGGTGATGATAGCCGCACTTCCCCTCTGAGATCGTTCACCTTCCCTTTCTAGGGTTCGCTTAGGGCAGCTGGATCGAAGATGGCCCCTTTCCCCACAGCCATAGCACCTAGGGCTGTATCCTTTATTGTGGTCGCGTACCGTAACTGCTGCAACCTCCCCTAGCGCGAGGGGAACGACGATCCTGCCACCGCCAGGCGGTGCCGTTAGCTGCACTACCCTCTCGAGATCGATCAACTCCCCCTTTTCACGATTCGCTTAGGGCAGCTGGATCGAAGATGGCCCTTTTCCCCACAGCCATAGCACCTAGGGCTATATCCTCTGTTGCGGTCGCGAACTGTAGCTGCTGCAACCTCCCTGACGCGATGGGAACGATGATCCTGTCGCACGGCTTCCTTCTCCAGTGCATGGGCCAAGGCGTTCTTAAGCGTCTCGCGGTGCCCGAGCCTCACAGCAGCTCTGAGTTCCAGGTCGCTGATGCCGTCGATGAATGTCTGCACCAAGTTCCCTTCAATGAGCGCAGGTACAGACCGGTATGCTTTCCGCACCAGCTTCTCCACCTCTAGAGCCCACTGCTGCAGGTTTTCGTTCATGCGCTGCACGCGATCTTTAAGCTGCGCACGAAAGACGTGTTCCAGGTGGGCGTCGCCATATCTCGCCTCCAATGCCTCAAGGAGTTGCTCATAAGTCACTTCCTCACCGAGAGCTTCCAGAACTGTTAAGGCCTGGCCGCGCAGGCCTAGTGTGAGAGCAGTCATGGCCTGACTTTTATTCCAGCCGTTCGCCTTCATAACAGCTTCGAACTGGATTTTGTAGGACGACCAGGAAGAAGTCCCGTCGAACGGTGGCAACTTGAACCCACGTAGCGAAGGTGTTGCAGCTACTACGGGAGCTGTAATTCCATCCCCCAGTTGGAGGTCATCTAGCGTTTTCTTCACCTCAGCCATCACGTTGTCAACCCGATTGTTCACTTGGTCGATTCGGGTTTCAGCTTTCGCGATTTGGGTTTCAGCTTCCGACAGGCGGTTGTCATGCTGAGCAACCCTATCCTTCACCTCGTTTATCTCCATCCCGAAGGTAGCGTGAAGGTCCTTCATGAGGAGCATCTGCTCTTCCAACCGACGGGCCTTGTCGGCGGGCCTGTTCCTCCTGTTCGCCTCGCAGCTGCTCTTCCAATCGGCGTGCCTGTTCCGCCTGCTGGCGGGCCTGTTCCTCCTGTCGGCGAGCCTGCTCCTACAGCATCACCATCAGGGCACCTAAGTCAGGTGTCGCAGATGTAGGAGCTACTGACGGGCCCGCAGCCTCCGTGGCTGGCAGTTGGCCCTCCGACGTCTGCGGCGTTGCACCACCAAATCTTCTCTGGTCCGTCTCCTGCTGGCGTTGACTTCGGGTACGGACACCCTCCGATTCCTCCTTCGGTAAAATCGGCATGATTTGATCCCACTTCTGACACCAATTGTTACGAGCTTAGGGTGCGTGACAATAAAAATTGCCAATTGAATTACCGAAATTACCACTTTAATTCACTTTGCACTAATTAAACTTAAAACACTAATAATTAATCACACTGATTCACTTTATTCCGTTCCGAAGCTTCGCTTGTCTCGCCAAATTCAATACTTCCCCGATCGCATCTTGCAGCGCCTATAAATATAAATTAGCACCGAAATATCCAGAATATTCAAGTAAAGACGCGCAAGGTACCGAGAGTTCGAGTTTCAACTTCTAGAAGTTTAGTTCTTCGGTTCGAGACTAGATGGCGCTGCCGGTTGAAAGATTAGTGATGTCATTTTCTGGAAAGCTCCCCTCGCTCTCGTCTCTGATACTAGATGGCGCTAGTGACGTCGACTTAGGCGCGTAACATTACTCTTTTAAGTGGACAAAGAATATGACTATTTCAACATCACCTATATTTTGCCACCATCAGGGGTAAAGTTTTTTCTCCAAATTTATATGGTACTCCTGTACAATTGACGAATGGATAACATACAAAATACAAAGAACATACAAATATTTTGATTCAATGAATTGATGTCAATATATTTGTATGTTACATACAACAAACATTCAGTCGAATTTAAAAACCACCTCCGTTTTTAAGTTGGCTCATAAATAATATACATCTTAGTAATATATCGAAAAAAGTACTCTACGCAATATACGTAAAGCAGGCAAGGCAGACATGACCTATTTAACTTGTAAGTGCGCTTCTTCTATCCAATACGAAGCGCAGTTTAATACTTCCTCTGTCTGTTAAGCCCATCGTATAGTAGGTATGCTAAAAATTTTAAACAGCTACCATAAGACAACAGAATATTTAAAACTGACGTACCTACCTAATTTATTATCATTACTTTTATCATATCAAATGGAGCTCTACTTTATGTTCAAGTTTTTTTATAATATTAGGTGAGCTACAAGAAAAGGTAAATATAAAGAGTATTCCAAATTTTATGTGTTTCCATAAGCCTCAATGTAATATTCACAAGAAGAGAGGTGTAAAACTTTTATGTTTAAAATATCATTCATGGTTTATTTATAATATTATGTGCAGTAGTTATAAAACCAGTGCAGATATTCATAAGAATATGTTAAATATTCATAAGTACTCGTACATGTTACATGATTTTGCATTGGAAGACATTTTCAAGCTACTGGTCTGGAAAGGCTACGGTATTAGCATCAATGGCGAGTACATCACTCACCTTCGAGTTGCCGACGATTTAGTCCTTATGACAGAATTGCTTGAGGACTTAAGCACTATGCGCACTGACGCTTAAAAGTGATTTATAACGGATAGATCTTAAGTTGAAAATGGACAAAACAAAGATCCTTTTTTGATTGTCTATTTCACACCTGCCGCTAGTTGTTGGGAGCACTAAGCTCGAAGTGGTTACGAGTATGTGACCAACTTGGACCAAGAAGTCAATCGACGGATTTAACTCTGCTGGACACCGTTCGGGAGATTACGACACATCTTCTCATCAGGTATTTTTAAAATTTAACCGGCTAGATAAATTCAACTTGGACCGAGAGTTCAATTGACGGATTTCAATCAGGTATTCTTAAAACTTTAAAAACAAGATTTTACAAGCAGTCCGTGTTGCCCACTGGCTGGTTCTAATGATGAATTATGAATCTGAGACACGGTCTTTCAATGCTGGCAGTATGAGGAAGCTTAAGGTCGCTCAGCGACCAATGGAGAGGGCTATGTTCGGGGTTTCACTTTGATAAAATTAGAAATGAGGATATCTGCAGTAGAACTAGCGTAACCAACATTTTTAAACGGATTGGAACAGAAACAGAAACTTTTTTATTTTAAACAGATTATAAATAATAGTTATCGAAAGTCACTATTTTGTTTAATTTACCACTGTTACACATTATTAATAATCTCAATAGCAATGGGCCGCCCATACAGTTTGAAGAACTTACAACCGATGGGTAAGAAAGGTTCCCGAGTGGCAGCCACGTACTTGTAGCCGATATTAAGGGCGGCCTCCCACTAGATGGAGTGAGTGTGCTGGAAGTCGATGGATGTTGGTGGCTCAGGACCGTACTTTGTGGTATTTCTTGGGGGAGAACTTTGTTTAGTGGACTTGTGAATGATGGATATGTTCGCACAGAAGGGGGGGGGTTAACAATACAGCCCCCAAGCCTCCGAGAATCGACGACCCATGGGGAAGAAAAGTGCTCGAGTGGCATTCTTGTAATATTATGCAGCCTCATCATACAAATTTTTGTGATTGCCTTTATAAAAAAAGTTTGGTTTTTATCATTTTGAATATCTTCAGTCGATTTTCAAATTCTCATGTCAACTTGTAAGTGCTACGCGATATCTCGTCGATTTTAAACCCATGTAATTACACTCTTCTAAAACAGGGGTAGTCCCATATAAATTTGAAGAAAAATTATAATGGGAAGAAAAATAAAAATGGGAGATCAAGCTAAAGTTTTTAATAAAGAGTAAAAGACTAAAAAATAAACAAAAGTAATTGTTAGACATTAACTTCTAAAGTCGCGGCTTTAATACTTCTATAAATTATATCTTCGCACCAATTTCTACCAACGTCAAATACCGAGCGGTCGCCTGCGATCGCACCCACCCACACCACTTTAATCCATTAATTTTTTTTTATTAATAGACTACTTTCCTTTAAAGAATTTTGGCATTTTTAGAATCTATACAAAATTCTCTATTCTATAGTCTTAACAAAAATTAGTTACTCTATTAATTTTTATTTTTAATATACCGTAAAATTGCGTCATTTTTGTATGGTCGGCAAATGTTGTAAATTGACAGGAGAGTAAAAATAAAATACATATAGTAACTGAATTTTGTTTAGACCATAGGATAGAGAATTTTGTTTAGATTCTATAATGCCAAACTCCTTTATAGAAACGTAGCAAAGTGGATGCGAACGCATGCGACTGCATGGGAATTTTAAGAGGATTGAGGGGTTAATTCACATTCGTGAGTCTTCTTTTCCTTTTTTAATAAGTAACCATCTATATTGCACTTATATTGCATGCCGGTCAGTTTTATCTTACAGTAATTAAACGAAAGTACGGCACGGTTCAGCTCTCCCGGCAGGATTAATTTACATTCCTCGATAGAAACTGATGTACTGACAAACTTAAATATCTTTTTATTTTATCTAGCACAACTTCTGTTGAGTTTTATTAAGATATTAGTTAGTTAGTTCTGTTTTTATATATGAAACTTTTATAATTTCATATTTCCTATCTGGCAAAATGTGTCAGAGTAGGCATTATATCTTTTGTATCTTAGTAAAGAGATATGGGCATCATTTTTATTATAACATAATCTTTAAGACAATATCGAGTGTAGTCTATGAAAATTGTCAAAAGATGCTTAAAGTTGCTTTTATCTTAACCTTAACTCATTTACTATAATTTGAGTAAATAAGGCAATACGAAATGTGGATAGTATCTAAAAAATAACTTATAATGTATAGATTCGATTTCAGTTCTTCATTCATTCACCAATCATGAAAAGTCTATTGCTGAATATGGCCTCACAGAGATTGCCTCATATACATCACATTTGCCAATAGATGCCTGGCAGGTAGGTTTACAACCGCAATTTTTTATTTTTAGTTGTTATCGGGAGAATGCTGTCTTTTTCGTGTTTAATATCCCTCTGTCGTCTTGCATTGAGTAGTGGATTATCCTACGCCGCCTAGATATAATAAGTTTGGGTGCTATGTTTTTACACCATATTGATGTACTTTTCTGATTAACATCTCACTGTGAACGCAGTTAAAAGCCTTGGAAATATCACAAAATATACCCAAAGCATCCTCTGAATTTTCCGACGCACAAAAATTAGTATAATCAGTGCAACACTGACGTAAATAGTCAAGCGGACCCCTTGTAAAACTAAACTGATTTTTATGAAGTAATTAATTTATAGTAACAAAAACGTAACATTTGATCTAGGATAATTTTTTTACAAAGTTACTGAGCGTTGGTAGTACAGAAATTGATCTAAAATTAATGAGGCAAAATATACTACCAGATTTAGATAAAGGTATAACGTAATATGTTTTTTTTGTGTTTCATTAAATCAGAGAACACACCAGATTCGATACTAGTATTGAAAATAATAACAAGTTGGGGTGCGATTTCATCTATTATAGACGCAATAACAATATGGATTAGTAAGCTGAAGTGGCAATGGGCCGGCCATATAGCTCGAAGAACCGACAACCGTTGAGGAAAAAAAGGTTCTCGATTGGCAGCCTCGTACCGGTAGACGAAGTGTAGGGCGACCCCCCACTAGATGGAGTGATGACCTGGTAAGACATGCAGGAAGTCGATTGCATCCTCCTAACCAATTCTTATAATAAACATTACAAATCAACAAGTTTTCAAAAATTACGTAATAATCGAATTGTACCATAAACTGTTAGTAAAAGTAAAGTAAAGTTACAGCCTATATACGTCCCACTGCTGGGCACAGGCCTCCGCTCTTTTCTGAGAGGGTTTTAGGGCAAGGAATTGTCCGCTGCCCTGCCCCAATGCGTGTTGGCGAACTTCACATGTCTTCGAAATATATTTTTTTATTTATTTCTCTGACATGCAGGTTTCCTCGCGATGTTTTCCTTCACCGCCGAGCACGTGGTAAATCAGCACTTAAAATTGCAATTAACAATTTCATTGTTGCCGGCGGGGATCGAACCCGGTTTGCTCGCGTACTGTGAAATTTACAACGCGCGCTAACTATCTGAGTTACCACGGCTCTACTAACCGTTACTGATTCTTCTAACCATTTGTAATTTCTATAAAAATATTCAAGTAATACTGATAAATATTTGCGAATAAGATTATGAAAAACGCCTTAGTAAAATGAAATAATGTAAACGTAGGACTAAAACAAAGGTGAAGACAAACAAGTTCCTCGTAATGCACTTATGGTAAGCAACGAAATCACAGCCCAAAAAATCTTGCAGTAAAAAGTCAGCAGAAACTTTAATATTGTACACACGAATTTGTAGCTAATTTGTTGCTAATTAGTTGCCAAAATCGTGATTTTGTTGTTGTTGCTTAACGTTAAATTATCAGTAAAGGCTTCAAATCAACCTGGCCGTAGCTGATACAACGGGAGAATTCGTTGTTAATTTGTTGCTAATTTTTTGCTGGCATATAGTGCAAAAAGAATATGAAAAAAATCAGATACAATTTTTTTATGAAATTAAAAAAAATACTAAACATTAAATTATGTTCTGACAATGGGTTCTGATGTTCCAAATTAACGAGTAAGTTTAGAGCTGTTTTAAGCTGGTTAACAAATAAATGAAAAACTAGAAAGCCTAGAACAAAATACAAGTGATAAGTTGCTAATATATGTGTACAGTGAATAATATATACAGTTAATATGTGTACAGCATACAATTATATGTGTACAGCACGATTACATCTTCACAGGAAATTTAAAAAAAAAGACAGCAGATATTTTGTTACTGGCCATTAATTATAGCAGCAAGTCAAAAACAGCCAGCAACAAAACAAAATCAATAAGTAAGTTGGAAGTAGTAAGAATAGGTTATAGTTTACTTTGTTGCTGGCTCTTTATGACTTGTTGGTTACTGATCCGAAACGAAAACGTCTTTTTTTGTGAAAATTTCCTTTCAAGATAACTTGCACACATATAATTAGCAACTTATTCCTTGGTGCAGCCTTTCGATCAATTTTATTTTGTTGATGGCTCATTAGATCTTGCTGATTCCATTACTATTAAAAAAATAGCAATTTTTCGCTTACTTTTCAAAAAAATACTTTCCAGTTTTTCGTTTAAAATATAGCTTAGATCCCTTCTGGCATTGTTTTTTATCAGTTCGTGAAGTTTTCTCAAAATCTGTTTAGTCATTCTGAAGATTATTTTAGAAGGCCGGAAATACAAAATTAAAAAGAAATATAAATTAATAATATAAAAAATCATTTTTATTATTAGGTTATTATCTTAATAAAATCATTATTATCTTAATAGTATGTAAGTATGTAACCGCCTCAACTTATAGGAGGCATTTATTTCGATATTACACTTCAATTTTATTTAAATGTTGTATAGA